TCCTTCCGCCTCAGCCTTCCAAGTAGCCGGAACTACAGGTGCGCGCTACCACGCCCAGCTGATTTTTTATTTATTGTGGAGGTGCGGTCTCGCCAAGTTGCCCAGGCGGGTGTCGAACCCGCGGGCTCAAGCAATCCACTCACCTCGGCCTCCCAAGGCGAAGGATTACAGTCTGAGCCACTGAGCCCGGCTTGACCAGGCTCATTTTTACGCGTTCTCCTTGCCACGATCCCTCCACATGGCATGGGGGGGCCACGCTCTGCCTTTTCCCGCAGATGTGCACAGGTGTTCACGCTTCCCCGGGGCATCCCCAGTTCCCATGGGTGGCAAGCCATCCATAACTGCCGGGAGCGGACCGAGCCTTATGGGGAGAGTCCCCTCTCCCCCCCACCAAGCCAGCGTGCTGTTCTAACTTGGCTCGGGTCCTGGTTCCACCGAGTGCCCAGGATGGGGCCTGGCACGTAACAGGCCCTCACTCGCCCTTGGTGGAAGAGCCCCCCTGCATCCAGGCTTCCGGGGAGGGAGGTGGCATCGACTGTGAGTCGTACCTGCATGGTGTCCTAACCGAGGACCCCAGAGGTGGTGGGTGGGGGCTTCCTGGCATGTGAAATACATGAGTGGGAAAAGGAACGCATGCGTGGCTGGCTGGAGGCAAACTCAAGAAACCTGGTTCCTCCTATCTGGGGTTGCCCAGATTGCTTCGAGGGCTGTATGGATTCTGTGACTACTGACATGTGAGTACCGGGGGAGTCCACATTCACTCTGAAGTTTCCCACATTGGGCCAGGGATATCCGACTTCCAAGAGAGCTCAAGTCGCGGACGGCTCCTTGAGTCGAACCTGCCTCAGCCCAAAGTCGCATCAGAATGCCACCGACCACGTTCAGGGCTGGCAGAGGAGACCCCTCGCCAGACGCCAGTTCTCCGCTGGTGACTTTCGGCCCTTACCTGGGCACCGAGTCTCTCCCTTTCTTTCCTTCACTCCGTCCCCTCTCAGGGACTCAGTCATCGAGTCTGGAGGACCTTAGACCAAGCTCCCTGTCGTAGGCCTAGCCACTTTCCCTGCAAAACTTGCTATCTGAGGGGACCCTCAAATCCCCGGAGTTTGTTTATTAAAAATTGTGTATTTATTCTTACATGCTTTATTTTCAGCTGCCTTCAAAGTCCTCTCCATTGGGTGCAATACACCTACGAGATGCTTTTTCCACGGTTCAAAACAGCTTTTGAACGCATTGATTTTGATGCCTTTTAAAAAGTGCTTCTGCCGTTTTTTGTTTCACCTCTTCGACACTGGCAAAATGTCTCCCTCTGAGGACATTCCTCATCCGGGGAAACAAAAGGCCCTCAGGGCAAGGATGAATAGGGAGGGTGGGGTACAAGCGACCTGCCCCTTTCGGTCAAAAACTACTAAATGCTCAGCGTGGTGTGGGCAGGTGCGCTCACACAGCACCCATCACGAAATGGGCAAACGTGTTGAAAGAATCTCCAAAAAAAATTCACTGAAGCCCAACGTAGCCTCACACAACAATGCTAGCTGGTACGCAGATGCCCATGGGTTCCTAGAACACTCACCTAGCGGGGGAAGCCTCTGGCACAAGGGGCTCGCCCTCCAACAGATGGTTCTGGGCTTTTTTAAGGTCCCCCTCATATAATTCACAACAGTTTCCCTTTTCATGCCAAAGCTGTCAGCAAACTATGTCCGTCGCCTATGTAACTCATCAAAGGACCACTGTGTTCTCTTTTTCAATCTCTGCAGAGCCCTGTGAGAAATTTCCCCATCCAAAATTGTGTGTGCTTTTAGGTTATATTAACAAGCAGAGAGCCCGTCGAGGCTGTCTCCAGTGACATCATGTCCACCGCGTCTGCCCCAGAGGAAGGTGACACATGGGGACTAGTCACCTGCCCACTTCTGCAGGTGTTGCCATGTCCCCAGAGCCTGGCTATGGGTTGTGAGCCATACTTTCTGTGTCTGCCCCAAGACCAAACCAGCCAGGTCCAGACCTGCTCAGACATTTAGGATTGTGTGCTCTTTATAGGCAGAGGACAAAAAACCATGCTGAGGAGAGCTGGGCATCACCCAGGATGGCCTGGTTCCTGCCTCTGTTCCTGAAACTTCTATCTCAGACACACTAGCAACCAGTGGGTGATGTCTGGTCCACGGATGAGAGCCACCTGTGGTCGCCATACTGATGGAGTGCCCCGGCACCTGGCACAGCACTGGGCTCACGGAAGGTGCTCAGCACCTGTTGCTGAACCAGTGCGTGAGTGACTGAACGGGTGCCAGGGGTTTCAGGATCTGCAGGGCGGAATCAGCGTCTGGGAACCTTGTTAAAGGCACTGATGAGCCGGGCTTGGCGGCTCAGCCTGTCACCCCGTGCCTTTGGGAGGCTGAGGTGAGCGGATGGCCTGAGCCCGCGGGTTCGAGACCCACCTGGGCAGCAAGACCTCATCTCTACCATAAATCAAAAATCAGCCGGGTGTGGTAGTGCACGCCTGTAATTCCGGCTACTCGGAAGGCTGAGGCGGAAGGATCGCTGGAGCCCAGCAGGTCGAGGCAGCGGTGGCCGGGAGCGGGCACTGCACTCCAGTCTGGGCGACAGTGAGACTCCAACTCAAAAAAAAAAAGTCACTGATGGTCAACTGGGTGCAGTGGCCCACGCCTGTCATCCCACCACTTTGGGAGGCGGAAGTGAGAGGCATGCTTGAGCTTGGGGGTTCAAGACCAGCCCCGGTAAAACCTTGTCACTACAAAAAAACAAAAAATTAGCCAGGTGTGGTGGCGCACGCCTGTGGTTCCAGCTACTTGGAAGGCTGAGGCGGAAGGATCACGTGAGCCCAGCAGGTTGAGGCTGTGGTGGCTGTGAGTGTGCCCCTGCACTCCAGCCTGGGTGACAGAGTGAGACTCTGACCAAAAAAAAGAAATAAAAAAATCACAGACGGCTCTATTCCATAGTCTAGACCTAATTCTCAAAGTCTTAAAGCATCCAGATGGAAGTTTCAGGAAGGGAGGCGGAGACCCAGGAAAGCACCATCCTCCTGCCCTGGCATCCTATCTCAGGTAGGGACGGCGCTTTGACTCTGACTCTTCCCTCTGAGAATAACCCTTCTCATCTGCCCCACTGCCTGCTGACACCTAGGTCTCCCGCGCCCGCCATCTCCCCGGCTTACTTCTGTGCCTCCAGCACCCCCTTTTCCGAGTTCCCAGCCCTCTCACCCAGGCTGAGCTGGTCCCTCTAGCCCCTGACACCTCTTTGCACTCCCAAGGCACCTCTGTGCACATTTTCACAGCAGGCTTTGTTCTGCCACGGTCCTGCATTTCCTGGCTGCCATCCTCACTCGAGGGGACGCTCCCTGAGGGCCAGAGCTGTGCGCCCCGTATCCCTGGACTCCGAGGGAGCTCCCAGGGGGTACTCAGGAGACATCGGTGCACAGAGGGAATGGAACCAAGCAGAGTCGCCTAGGGGAACGTGAGGATTCCTCCCTGGCAGAGAAGCGAGGTTGTTGGTAGACAGGCTCCCCATGTCACGCAGGGCACTTACGCTGGCAAACCTGTTCACGATCCGGCCAATGGGGGTTGTGTCGAAAAAGCTCATGGGCGCTCGCAGGATGTTGTTCAGAAGCTGCTTGTGTAGGGTGTTGGACGCATGGGTGGAGCCGTAGGCACTGCAGAGATTTGCCAAGTACACGGCGAGAGCTGGAAAGGGAGTCAGTTTCGTCAGCACCGTGCGCGGGGACCCCGAGGACCGGTGCCCGGGATCCCACGGCACATGTTTTCCAGAATCCGGGAGAACCACGGGGCCCAGGCAGATTCTGCGAGGCGGTATTGCGGCCGTCGGACGTACCTTGGATCAACCCCAGGACCCCATAGACGCCGACTCGCAAGTCCCTCTGGGAGGCGGGGTAGGTGGTGGCGTTGAAGGTTTTGGAGTCACTGGTCCAGGCGCTGAGCCAGAAGTTGGAGCCAATAAAAGCCACAGAATTCAGCATGAAGGCGAAGACGATAAAGGAGATAAAGTACCACCCTATCGCTCGCAGGTACTTCAGGTAGATGGCAAACTTCACCTGCAAAGCCCACCTTGATGTTAGAAGAACACTCTCCTGGCTGTTACGAGGAGTCACCTAGAATACCCCTCCCAAGGCAGAGTGGGGTCCCCTGGAAACGGGAGCAGCAAGGGGCAAAAGGGTCACCGTTTCTGCACTGGGCCAGGATGGATGGGAGGTCAATGCTGGACCACAGTGCAGGGCACATGACCATCGGGGGACGAATGAGCTTCTGGAGGCCTTTGAGAGGGAGAAGGTGTTCAGAGTGGGACCAGCCGGCTGTGGTGGTGCCTGCCTGCAATCCTAGCTACTTGGGAGGCTGAGGAGGGAGGATCGCTTGAGCCCAGGGGTTTGAGTCCAACTGGGCAACACTGTGAGACCACATCTCTAAAACAAACCAACCACCACGCAGAGCAGGGCAGGTGATGGGGTTATACTGCAGGCTCGAAATCCGTGGTTTTGTTTCATGAATCTGAACTAGTGCCCTGGGTCTGACGTGTTGTGTTCCCTGGTGCCCAGAATTGCATCTCAGAGCGGTTCTATATTGCTCTCCACACTTCAGAATAGAATCAAACACCCATGAAGTGTGGAGTGAGGACACGCACAGGAAAAGTGTCATTTGACAGAAACCCGCAGCCTCTGCTAACATGCTCGCAATGAGTGTGAAGATTTGCGAAGGACAAGGGACACACTGCTCCCACAGATGCCCATTCAAGCATCATCTGATTTTTTTTTTAGAGTTGGAGTCTCACTCCATCACCCAGACTGAGTGCAGTGGTTGCTCCTGGCCACCACAGCCTCGACCTGCTGGGCTCCGGCGATCCTTCCGCCCCAGCCTTCCAAGTAGCTAGAACTACAGGCGTGCATCACCACGCCTGGCTCATTTTTTGATTTATCGTAGAGACGCGGTCTTGCCATGTTGCCCAGGCTGGTCTCAAACCTGCGGGCTCAGGCGATCCTCTCGCCTCTGCCTCCCAAAGTGCTGGGATAGCAGGTGTGAGCCACCGCGCCCGGCTCAAGCATCGTCTGATTTTAGAATGTGTGGACTCCAAGCCTGTGTCTCCTCAGGGGCCACTTTCTGCTGTGCTGCTCACCTTTCCGGTTTCTATGAATTCCTTCTTAACTAGCTTCTGTCCCTTCACCAGCTCGCCCTCCTTGAGGCCGTTCACTGGCTGCGTTTTCAAGGAGCTCTTCAGGGACGTCAGACGCTTGCTGCCGGGCCTAGAGCTGAGAGGGCGAGAGAGGGCGGCGTCCCTGGGCGCGAGGATGCGATCCAGGGGTCGGCGCGCGGGTGGATGTCACAGCCACGTGGCTGGCATCGAAGGGCCTCTCAGGGTGGATCCCGCGGGAAACGGACCCGGCGCCACCCTCTCCCCCACCCACATAAGGAAACCAAGGAGGAGGGGGCGTGCCCCTGGGGCTCCCCCTCTCAGGAGAAGAGAGGAAGGGCAAGTGGGAACACGGACGTGACGGGGGCTGCCGAGGTGGCCGACCTGCGGCTGAGCGTCCGGCGAAGGCTGTTCTCTCTTCTCATGACCACGGAGGCCGCGTCTTCGGGGATTTCTTCCACACTGGATATCAGCCCGTAATCGTTGTCGTCTTCCTCACTGCCGTCATTGACTAGGGAGACCCAGAACGGTTTAGGGAGACAAGTTGCACAGAGCCCTGTTGGTCCCCCACCAAGGCGAGAGGAGCCGTCCCTGACCTTGCTGGTTTCAGCAAGGGTCCCCGGTGTGTGCCCAGGCTGGGATCGTTTATGCTCCATAAATACGAGTTCTTAGGGAGAAATACCGGACAGAGGAGAGGTGGGTAATGCCACTGAAGAGGAAATGGCCAAGAAGGGGAAGAAGATTTCCAAAAACTTCCAAGTCCCTTTGGAACAGGAAAGAACTTTTAAGGATTCTGGTAGACGGAAGAGTCACCACCCCAGAACTGAGAGAGAGGCGACTGTGAATTGAGAATGCTCATCTTGTTTTGCTTTCGGTTATTTTTCTTTCTTTTTGCATTGGAATCTCACTAGGTCGCCCAGGCTGGAGTGCAGTGGCACACTCACGGCCCCCGCAGCCTCGACCTGCTGGACTCCAGCAATCCTTCTGCCTTCCAAGTAGCCGGAACTATAGGCACACGCTACCACGTCCGACTAATTTTTGATTGATTGTAGAGATGAGGTCTCGCCAAGTTGCCTGACCTGGTCTCGAATCTGCAGGCTCAGGCAATCCACTCGCTTCGGCCTCCCAAAGTGCTGGGATGACAGGCTGAGCCACCGAGCCAGGCCATGTGTTTGTTCTGAGTCGGAGTCTCCCTTTGTTGCCCAGGCTGGAGTGCAGTGGCACAATCATGACCCGCCACAGCCTTGACCTCTGGGCTCGGGTGATCCTTGTGTATCAGCTTCCTGGGTAGTCGGGGCTAAAGGTGGCACCACCACACCAGGATAGGTTTTTGATTGTTTTGGTAGACAAGTTCACACTGTGTTGTCCAAGCTGGTCTTGAGCTCCTGGGCTCACTTTGGCTTCCCAAGGTGCCGGGATTACAGGTGTAAGCCACTGCGCCCAGCCCCCAAAACACTCATCTTGAAGTTCAAATGATTTAACAAACTTGTATTCACTTAAAGTATTTAAAATATATATCCTGGCCAGGCTTGGTGGCTCAGTCTGTCATCCCAGCACTTTGGGAGGCCTAGGCGAGTGGATTGCCTGAGCCCACGGGTTCAAGACCAGTCTAGGCAACTTGGCGAGACCTCATCTCTACAATAAATCAAAAAATTAGCCGGGTGTGGTGTGGTAGTGCTTGTCTGTAGTTCCAGCTACTTGGAAGGCTGAGGCGGGAGGATCGCCTGAGACCAGCAGGTCGAGGCTGCGGGGGCCATGAGTGTGCCACTGCACTCCAGCCTGAGCAACAGAGACTCCAACTCAAAGAAAAAAAAGAAAGAAAGAAAGAAAGAAATGGCCACTGCACTCAGCCCAGGCAATGGAGTCAGACTCCAACTCAAAAGAAAAAAAATGACATATTCTGAAAATACAATAAAATAAAATGTAAGGTACAGTGCGGGCATTCGTGGACACGGTAGAATAGAGAGCCACTCCTCCAGAAAGCAACAAGAATACTGGCAAGAAATGGTTAAAACCTGAAATTAGCCAAAGGCTTGCATGCAATTCCAGGAGTACTTATTTTTCAAAAAGAATGGCTGAAACCTGGTAGGCACAGTCAGCTCTGTGGTGGTTTAATGTACCCCATTTCCAATACCCCCTCCCCAACTGCTGTAGCCTAGAAAACCACCAGCCATACAATCATGGCGGCCATGAAAACCAGCCGCCCAGCAGCCTCTGGAAGGTCGGAGCGGGTTCAGAACTCCCAAAGGCCCCAGCCCTGGAGAGTTGCCAGGATCCCATCTGTGTGGAATTCCCTGACGCCCCCGTTCACCGGGCCTGCCTTTATGTGGCTGAATTTGGAGCTAGCTCAGACAATCAGCAGCATCTCCTTAACATCACAGCTGCCTGAGGCAGTGATAACAGTTGGGGCAAACGAGAAACTGACCAAACACTTAAAAGGAAAAGCTGGGGAGGCCAGGCATGGTGGCTCACGTCTGTCCTCCCAGTGCTTTGGAAGGCCAAGGCAGGACGATTGTGCAAGTCCAGGAGTTCAACACCAGCCTAGGCACCAAAGTGAGACGTCATCTCTACAAAAAAAATGAAAAATGAAAAATTGCTGGGCATGGTGATGCAAGCCTGGAGTCCAGCTACTTGGGAGACTGAGGCAGGAGGATCACTTGAGCCCAGGAGTTCGAGACCAGCCGAGGCCACATAGGGAGACCTTGTCTCTACAAAAGATCAACAAAACTTTCTGAATGTGGTGGCATGTGCATGTAGTCCCAGTGACTTGAGAGGCTAAGGCGGGAGGATCCCCTGAGCCCAGGAGCTCAAGGTTGTGGTGGGCCACGATCGTGCCATTGCACCAGTCTGGGTGACAGAGTGCGACTCCCAACTAAGAAAGAAAGAAAGAAAGAGAAAAGAGAAGAGAAGAAAAAAGAAGAGGTGAGGAAAAAGAAGTCCATGGAGCTTTGATACATCTGATAGAATCCTGATGATCTAAAATGCCACGTGCATGTAGAGGGCTGTGTACACACACGTCCGGGAAATACTGTAGCAGGCCTGATCCCTCCCTCTTGGCTGACCACGAGGCCCCGTATACAGGACGCAAAGGCTGAGGCAGAGATAGGAATTGCTGGATCTGCGAAGATGTGCCCCCACCCACCCACAAAGGCTCTCAGCAAAGGCTGAGACGCTTGTTGGTTCCACGCATTTAAGGAAACCTCCATGTAACCATTAGCTGACCACTAAGCCAACCAGGAAGAGACTTCAGTGGCCACACGCGACCCAAATGCAGACTTAAGAGAGTTAGTTCAGAAAACCAAACCACAAGCAGAAGAAAAACAGCCACAGAGCCTGCCAGCTGCCCTCTGTACCCTAGGAGAGGGGCCACCCTCCGACACCTGCCCGGCACCCTAAAAAGGAACGAATCTTGCCGACACCTGGACGTTGTCCTCTAGCCTCCTACAGTGTGAGGCCACAAGTTGCTGCAGTTTAAGCCATCCAGTTGGTGGGGCTTTGTTATGGCAGCGAATTAGGAAACTAAGACACGGAATGAAGCCCCGCCCAGTCCCTCATGCCGTTCTGTTCCCAACTCAATCCACCACAGTCCCAAGTCCCGGAGCGAAACCTCTCAGAAGGGTTCACAAAACCGCCCAGAAGGGCTTCCTGGACTGTTGTGCAAACTGACCTTTGTGCATAAAAGATAGCATGTGTCAAAGGCGGCCACCCACCTAGGGGAGTTTATAGAATCCAGAAACTCAGATCCAGTTGGATCAGGAAAAAAAACGTTTAGAATGAGCATCAGAGCCGGGCTCGGTGGCTCAGCCCGTAATCCCGCGCCTTGGGAGGTTGAGGTGAGTGGATTGACTGAGCCCGCGGGTTGGAGAGCCGCCTGGGCAACTTGGCGAGACCTCATCTCTACAATAAATAATTAAAAAAATGAACCGGGCCTGGTAGCGCGCGCCTGTAGTTCCAGCTACTTGGAAGGCTGAGGCGGAAGGATCGCCGGAGCCCAGCAGGTCGAGGCTGCGGTGGCCGGGAACAGCCACTGCACTCCAGTCTGGGTGACCGAGTGAGACTCTGACTCAAAAAAAAAAAAAAGAACAAGCATGAGAAGGCTGCCCAGGTTATGAGGCTGTGGCTGACTGAGCCATGGGGGCTCGCACGTGAGCCAACGCCTTGCTTGGGACCCTTACTCCCCATTCTCGGCACCTCTGGACAGTACCTGGAGCCTTGATGCCTTCCTCTCTGCTGGCCCCTGCAGCCTGCCAGGCTCTCCTGGCCGTGCTCCCGGCCCCTGCACCCACGCCTGCGCTTTGGTCCAGCCCTGTCCCTCCAAGGCTTACAGATCTCCGGTTTAGACTTTTCTTTTAGACTCTTGCGCTTCCCAGGGTGGTACTAAACCACCACACGCCCTGTCCTCACTGTCCGAATACGCCCCCACTTGTAGGCCCTGGCCCCTCATCTGACTGGCTTCTGGAATGTCACCCCCTTCTGGCTTTTCAACGCTGGCCTCCTGCTGGGGTCCCCCCAGGGCCTGTCACAGGGCTGCTGTTGGCAGGTCCTTGGGAAAGTTCACAGGAAGCAGGGCTCCCCTGCTGACCAGAGTGAATTGGTGAACCCAGTCTGAGGGTGGTGATATTTGGGGCTGTTCCCATGGTACACTCTGAGACGATGCGGCCGCCATGATTTTTCCTGGCTCGGATACCCAGGGCTTTGTGTGCATTTATCCAGGTCCCTTGGCGAGGGCTTACCAAGAACCTTGCAGCACACGGTTAGTGCCACCGGCTCTGGAAGCTGTCCAGGAATTGCTCCTAATTGCCCTGGGACAGTGGGGGCGGCTTGTGTGGCTAATGTCAAAGGAGCATGGCGCCCCTAGAAGATGGATCCTCAAGCCCTGGCATTTTTTCCCGCAAAGGTCCCTCACTCGGACCTTCCTTGAGTACCTAATTGGGAAACTAAGACACAGAACCAGTCTCAACACAGCCACCTCCGTACCCTTCTGGAGTGTTCTTTGATTGCATGTCAGACGCCAGATGGGCAGAAAGAGTCGCCGTCTGGCCTGGGCACAGAGTTCCCACAGCCGTGTTCCTTTAGGGACACAGAACACAGAAAGCAGAGCGTGGACCTCTGGGTAACCCACTTCCAAGCCAGCTTGTTGGATGCCGAGCTATTCGGGAGGTAGACACTGGCTTCCATTCCCCCCCACACCCGTGCCACCCGCTCTGTCCTGTTCTGTCCCCTTCCGCCCCGTTCTGTCCTCTTTACGCACGGGTGGCTTCCTCTTCAGAACCCGCATGCTTCAGGAAGGTCTTCAGGTTCTTGGCAAACACACCCTTCTTGGCCAGCAGAGCGCTGTAGGAGCCCTTCTCCAGGATGGTGCCGTTCCCCAGCACCACAATCTCGTCCACTTGGGGAAGAAAGTGGAGGCTGTGTGTCGCCAAGAGCCGAGTCTGCAAAGACAACGCCAAGTTGTGTTGGCGGCCCTGTGCCCACCGTCCTCCCCCGCTCCCTCACCCGACGCGTCAGAGACAGACGTGTCCATTCACGCTGGGGCTTCGCTTCAAAATGTGGCCCTGAGCCGGGCTCGGTGGCTCAGCCTGGAATCCCACGCCTTGGGAGGCTGAGGTGAGTGGATTGCCTGAGCCTGCGGGTTCAACACCCGCCTGGGCAACTTGGTGAGACCTCATCTCTACAATAAATTAAAAAAAAACAGCCGGGCGCGGTAGCACATGCCTGTAATTCCAGCTACTCGGAAGGCTTAGGCGGAAGGATAGGCGGAAGGATTGCCGGAGCCCAGCAGGTTGAGACTGCGGTGGCCGGGAGCAGCCACTG